ACAGCAGGCTGACTGCTGGTAAAATATACGATAGGTCTGGACCACACATGAATTTTGTTCGTATCTGAAAAAAAATCGTAGAATATGAGAAACATTGGTGAATGCCACAAATTCTCCTAAATCACTCGTACGCACAACTTAAGAACAAATCTGTGCGTACGAACGGTTCTTGCATGAGGCCCAATGTGTTTAATGACTAAAAAGAAGTGGATTTTACAGATATGTCCCCTTTAAAATCAGAAAACTATTTTTTCTGTGTATTTAGGTGAGTTTATTACTTTTTAGTTCAGCAATGACTGAAAAAGTCCTAAAAAATGCTAAGTTTTCACCACTCTCACACTGTTCCTTTTGATACATCCAGATGTGTGCGTGYAACAAAAAACTGTGTCTTAACTGTTGATACCGTCTTGATGCTCATTTCCAGTATTTTGATCAGATGGGATTAGTTGAATGAGATCATTAACAGTCTAATGTAAAATGGTCCTCCACACTCCAACAGCCCCCTAAAGAAGATGTGACGTCTCATGAAACATGTTAGCTACATGTTAGCATGTGTTGCTTCATTCTGAAAGTCCAATCAGAGCTTATTATCATCTGCTGGGGTTGTTTGGTCCCATGTTTACAGCTGAGCTCACTGAGGTGCAGAACGTCACTTCTGGAGGGACTGAAAGTAAAAACGAGCTCAGGTCTGGATCCATCATGGAGTCGATGCAACACGTTGGTGTAGCACTGTTAGCATCATAGGTTGGCGTCTCACTTGTCATGACTAATCTAGAAAGTTTAAAGTGCCTGTGACATCAAATTTTTATAATTAATATGAATGTGTTTTTGGAAAGAGATCATTGATAAACATAAACGCAAAACAAATTTCATGCTGATGAACAGTTGTTGAGATATTTGCATGTGAAGAAACAGGAAGTGATGTCAAAGGGGAATGTCTGCATGTAAACAGAGCGATGCTACAATAATTAGAGAAGAATCTGATGCTTCTTTAGATTATTTTGAGTCACTGTCAGAGTTGAAGAAGAGTTTAAATAATATTGTTTCAATAAACAAAGACTTGAGAGTTTCTTTTCTTAAAGAGTTCCCCTTTGACGTCACTTCCTGTTTCACTTTGCTGAGCCAAATTCAAGAGAAAACACGCCAGTTATGTGACAAAATGGGTAAAATCATGTGTATTATGCTAATTTTCTTAACAGAGTCTCTACAGTTTAAGGAAAGTTCAATTTAAAGACTTTTTAGACTTTTTAATGCCAAGTGAAATTAGATTTAAGACTAATTTTACAATAAAAACAAATGACAAAAAAATAAAAAATGTCAGAAACTCATGAATCAAAGTATTTTTGGTTGAAGTATTCAAATATTGCTAATAGACCAATTGTTTTTTATCTATATCTAACTGCTATTTTGTCAAATACAGTAAAAAACCATTCTTAGCAGTTGGTTTTAAACTTAATTTAATTTCTGGAAATCCTKTACTGTTAATCATGTCATAACTCTACTAATGTCTACTTTTAAGATTAGACTGAAGACTTTCCTTTTT